AAACCCCTATTCTAACTACTAAGCCCCCTACATTAAACCGAAAGCCTCGATCACCAAATTCCAAATCCCTCAAAACCCCCAAACCTCACACACTCGAGGGGCTCTCAACCCTAAGCATAAGTAGGGTTTAGGGTTTAGGGCTTAAGGGTTTTAACCTACCCTTAGACCCCAAACCCTGCTGGGAGCCTTCTGGAATGCGTTGGGCCGTCTGGTTACAAATACCAAGTGTCTCAGTTCGGGCTATAGGTCGGCATAGGTATGGCTACCTTACTTACATTCCTGCTTACTAAGCCCCCTGATCCTTGAAGCAACCCCCCCAGAACCCTCAGATCAAAAACCTAAACCCCAAACCCTAAACCCTATACCCTAAACCCTGCAAACCCTATACCCTAAACCCTAAACTCAAGACCTGGGCCCTTAAGGGAACCCTTAAGGCAACCCATATAGCCCGACATGCTTGGCCCCCTGATCCCTTCAGCAGGCCTTTCCCCCAAGACCCCCGGACACCACGACCGGGATTTGGCGTTCGCGGCCTCGGTGGCGGCTTTTGGACTAATATGGGGGCCTTAAGAATTCGAATAGGGTTTTGGGGCCCATTATACTATACTTATAACAAGGAACCCCAAGATGGTATAGGTAGTTAGTTAGGCTTATATATTACTGCTGTCCGAGGTTGAAGATAAAGGTTTTCATGGTGGGAAGAGAAATGGCACTAATGGTTCAACCGCGTTTTGCTTCATGGATCTGGGTGGGAACTAGATAGCGTCATTCTGTCCCTACCTGACAGGAGCCTAACTGTTGAGGGTTTGGGGCATATAGGGCTTTGGGGCTTTCACGTGGTTTAGGGGTTCAGGGCTCCAGGGGTTTAGGGTTCCAGGGTGTTGGGCCTTGGGGCTGCCACGGCAGGCTCGATACCTCAAGGCATTTGGAGGTAGTGTCGCTCTGTCAGAAAATGCGGTTTGGTGTATAGAGAATCCGAATGCAAGTTGCAATACTTTTGCTTCGCTTCCTTATCTAAGATATGCCTCTAGTCTAAAAGCTCGACTCTAAATGTTCAATTCAATTCCCCTGTATTAATGTAGGGGCCTCAATAATTAGAATAGGGTTTTGGGGGTTCCTTGTTGTAGTTATAGTATAATGTACCCCCCCCCCCCCCAATCCGAAAGTCTAATTATTACCCTAAACCCTAAACCCTAAACCCTAAACCCTAAACCCTAAACCCTAAACCCTACCCCATAAATTCCCATGGACTATATAGGTTGAAGGCTCAGGCTTCCCAGGGCCGATGGTTCGCCGACTCTGGCTTTGGGGACCTCCGGAGTTCAAAACCCTTGCGGATCAGCTCCGGCGTTTGGGACCCCCGATATAGGGAGTGCGAAAGAATCGGGATACGGTTGATGATATAAATCCTGCATTACACATAATAAGGAATAAACCATAATTCCCATAGTTTAGGGTCCTTAAGGTAATGCAGGATTTATATCATCAACAGTAGTACGCCCTTCCAGTCACTATGCAGATATACTGCAGAAAACCCTAAGATGCTGTTCCAACTTGCTGTAAACGCCTGGGTGTCTACGAAACCCTACACTCTAAACCCCGAGCTGTGGCCGAGGCAGCCATTGATGAGCTGGCACTTGTTGGCCACGCCATCGATGGCGTCGACAACGACCTCAGCTTGCTTGGCAGAGCTCGCGACGCCGAAGCCGTGACTCCAACATTACCTAAGGCTCCCATAATATAGGGGCCTGAATAGCTAGAATAGGCTTTGGGATCATATAGTACCCGTTTAGCATAAGGAGCCCCAAGGTATCAATAGTTAGGACAGGGTTTTGGATTGTAGAATATTTATGCGAACAAACCCCAGGGTATAGGTAACTACTCAAGCTGTTAGATTACTCCCAGGCCCCTTCCCATCGGGTACCCCCGCATCGAATCGCCTTCGATCGAGAATCATGCTCTCTGTCTCCTTCACAAAGAAGTCTTGCCTCGGCTAGTGACGGTTTAGGGCTCTAGGGTTCTAGGGTTTAGGATTTAGGGTTTAGGGTTGAGGGTCTAGGGCTCCAGGGTTCTAGGGCTAAGGGTTTAGAGTTTGGGGTTTTGAGTTTGGAGTTTAGGGTAATCCGGATGACGGCTCTCGCTGACGGAGGCGGCCAACTTAAGCCCCAAGCATTCCTACAAGCACTAGTCTTACGATTCTTCTTCATCATGACGTATCTCTGCTACTCTTGTACAGGATTGCTTTCATCATGTATGGTGATTCGACTGCTGGCTCGATAACTACCCGTGTATGCCGGGATACTGCGAACCGGGCTGGGTTCGATATCATGAGATGCAGCTCCTGTACTAAAGCGAGGCATTCGACAAGCCTAGGATGCCCGAGTCCGAAAGGGCCTGAGGTTTAGCATACAGTCTTGTGGACCTAGGGCATTTACGGTTCTTGATGACATCGCAACAACGACTACGACGACGACGACAACCACAACACCAACATCAACACCAACGACAAAACCAACACGAACACCAACAACACCAACACCAACACCAGCACAAACAGCAACAGCAACAGCAACAGCAACAGCAACAACGACAACGACAACGACGACAACAACAACAACAACAACAACAACCACAACAACAACAACAACAACAACAACAACAACAACAACAACAACAAGAACAATAACAACAAGAACAACAACGACGACGA